TGATTGAGGTTATTCGAGGAAATTCTTCAGTGGCGTAGATACTGGGGGTCGACATATCCTTCTCCCTCACCTAATCTTCGGTTTCACTAAATATTTTACAAAAAGATCACATTTTTGGATTTCTTGTTCAATTTAGAGAATAAAAATACCTTTGCAAATGTTTGATTTATGGCTTCGTTTTCAAGATACTTATTCGAATTTAGAGGGTTGCATCAAGAAGGCTAAAATTTTCGAGGTTTTGTACAGGCTGTACTATTATGGTTTTCAATAATGTTAATGAAGTAGGTACACATTACACTGTTGATTTTGATGATTCCAAACTTAACGCGGCCGCCGAGAACTCAATCGAGGTGTCTAAACTCTGAAACCCTGTATCTCTGTTAGGAAGCATTTTCAACCAAAGTTTTATCATGAAAGTCTACTTCTTTCCCGTTTTTCTGTCGCCTATCAAATGTAATGACGTTTAACCTGGACCACCCTGTATATATATACGTCCACCTCGATTGCTTGAGTTCGGGTTCTATATAATAGCATACAATAGCTATAAATAACATTTGATATCGTTATGAAACTATATCAAATAATCTATAACTGAAAACTATTATCGAATATACAGGGCGAGTCAAGTGGGATATTGAATTTAGAGAATTCCAACAGTGACAGCCAGCCAGAATCTACACTTTTTAAATCTCTAAAATTTGAGCAATTCAGTCATCAATAGGTTTTTCCATTTTTCTATTATACAGGGTGGATCAATAGTACGTCAATTATCGATCTCAAAAAAAAGTAAATTAGGACCCATCGTGATCAGTTCAGAATATTTCAAGAGTGGGCCAGTAAAATAAAATTGTAACATTGAAATAACTTGAGGGAGGAAAAAATACACAAGTGATGAATATTTCAACCCAACATATTCATAGATATTATTTAAATACCATCATGATTTTTGATTACTCCTTTCTACGAAGAGAGAGATCGTGGTTGGGAAGCAATTTACTTTCCATTAAAAAGGTATTAAATTTTGTATTTAATTTGATGAAATGAAAATCAAAAGAAAATTTGAATATTCAAAGTTATTGGACACAATTGAAGGATTCGAAGACCTAGGAATAATAGGTGGTAGATCTAAGACGACGGGGACACAAGTGATGGTACTTTTGGCCAGAGGACTATATTCCAAGTGGAAGATTCCATTAGGATATTTTGTCTGTGGTAGTGCTATGAAACATACCATCCTGAAAGAAGTGATCATCAAAGCCATTCAACAGGTGACAAATACTGGCCTTATTGTCAAGGCAGTAGTGTGTGACCAGGGAACAAACAACCAGGCAGCTATGAGGAATTTACATGTCTCCATTGAAAAACCATATTTTGAAATCGAAGGCCGAAGAATATATTGTATTTTTGATCCGCTCCATTTGTTCAAGAACTTTAGAAATAATTTATTGCACCATGACTTTATCTGGATGAATAGGAGAGTATCGTTTGATGATGTGAGGAAGACATATAATATTGACACATGTAGTACAACAAGGACTTTACTGAAGATCACTCCTGCCCACATGAATCCATCAGCATTCGAAAAAATGAATTGTCGGTTGGCACTCCAAATTTTCAGCAATTCTATTGCCGCAGCTATTAGAACTTGTCATGAAACCAAACAATTAGAAAGTGATACTGCTCTTGCTACAGCAGATTTCTTCCAGATGATGAATAATTTGTTCGATTGTTTGAACAGTAAGCAGTTGTATTCCAAGAATCCATATAGTTGCGCAATGTCCGATGAACGCCCTATATATAGTCGAAAATACGATCATTTCTGCAGATACATTGATAGAAATTAAGAAAGTTACTACAACTGGATATTCTAGACCTGACTGTCTTGATGGAATATTGATCACTTTGTCTTCAATATTGGGAATTTATAATGAACAAAAAGAATTAGGATTCACTTATTTATTAACAACAGATTAAATCAAGATGTTATTGAAAATACTTTTTCAAGTGTAAGGCAAAGAGGTGGATTCAATCCAAACCCAACGGTTAGAACTTTCAGGTGTACCTTTCGTATCATAGCAAAAATGAACTTAATGAAGTCATCAGATTTAAGTAATTGTGAAGGAGATGATGATATTAATTTGATGACAGTTCCATCTACTAGTCATGTGAATGAAAATGTCGAGGAAAATCTTGACAATCCTCCTACAGAGAATTTACTCGAAAATCAAGTGATTCCATCATCCTCGTCTTCTTCAAATGAGGAAAATAAACTCGAAAATAAATATTCACCTGTAACCCTGGAAGATTGTTCGAATGCTTATTTTGCAGGATATACTTGGCAAAAAATGTATCGATAAATTCAAATGTAATCCTTGTGCAAATAATTTGATAGTTAACGATTTCGACAATGTAATGAATGACGAAAAACAATTATTGATAATCAATAAAAATTATAGTAAGAACATACAACATCTAAAATACCCCACTGACGAATTCAAGACTATGGTTGATGTAGCTTCAACTTCTTTTTCAAAAACATTCCTCAAGAAACCATATATAAATAGAACAAAACTATTCATCAAGAATAAAATTTTCAGAAAGCTGTCGAAAAAGTGTCCCATCTTTCATAACGAAGTTGAATGCAGAGAACATATGGAATTCATAGTTGATCAGTTAACGTTATGTTAACTTCATAAAGAGTGTAAAAATGAATCCTAGCTAGATCGATTTATCGCCCTCGAAACCCTCTGTATACGGAATTTCATGAAAATCGTTGGAGTCGTAAATGGTTTGGCGTGCTATGATCTTGTTACACCCGGTATATACATTTTCTGAAAATGAATCCTAGCTAGATCGATTTATCGCCCTCGAAACCCCATGTATACGAAATTCATAAAAATTGTTGGAACGGTTTCCGAGATTCACATTATACAAGTATTGTTCGTTTAAAGATATAATATTTTAATCATAGGTTTCCTGCCCTTATGTGTGTGCCGCTACTGCCGCTCGTGTGCAATTTTCGTGTGTCGATGCAGCACGCCCCTGTCTACCATTCATCAATGGAGTTGAAAATGTTTTCATTGGCTATCCTAATTCATTCATGTTCACTAGCTGTCTCCTAATGGTTATAGGAAACTGTGATTTTTCCTCAAAGACGCGTAGTGTATCTACTAATATGCAGATGGCGACAAATTCGCACGTGCAGAAATCGGCCCATATACATTGCCTATCTATTGTTTGTTTAATCTATGGTTCTGAAAAATGAGTCAATAATACCGTCTCTGAGAAAGAACTGCAAGTCCTTTTATCTTCCATTCAACTTCACGGTTTCGTATATTACTAAACAACTACTGAATTCGCAATTTTTCAAAATCAAATCACAGAATTGAACTGACAGAAGTGACATCAGATATTTGATTACTTCAAAAGAATGATGAAGATGCCTATAAAACGCAGGTGTCCCTACTGTTAAACACTTGAAATTTCACGTCGATAATTTACAGATTTCGAAATAATGTAATATCTTTTCAATATTGATTCGTCCTTCCTTCTGTCACAGAAAAAAATAGTGTATTATACACGGGAAAAATATTAGATTTTAGCTCCAGGTTGTGTTTCCCTTGCATAATAAATAACTATTGATATCAACTACCACTACTGCAGAAAAATATATTCAACTTGTCGATGGTAGGTTGAATCATTAGAATATAAACAATCTCAAAACAACGAAATGTCTCAATCTCAAAACCATTTGCACCATGACAATTTCACAATAATCCAAAATATTTCATGATCAACATTGCTTTGTTGACCCGTTTCACATGGAGCTACATTTGCATCGAGTCTCGAATACCGATTCCGAAGTTATTTATGTCGTCTAAAATGAGAAGAGAAGACACGTAATGAAATTAACCTCCAAATCTTGCTTTATATCATATTAATACATATTATTGATATATTGAATATAAACATGAACGTTGAATCAGGATTTGTAAAAGGCTCATCAGATAATCTACCGAAAATTGATTTGGAAATGGTTAATTATTTTTATGTCTCTAACGTACTAGAAAATCTCCACAGTTCCTCAGTGCTGAAATGAGGAATAGAAAATCTGAAAGGTAAGTTCCACGATATTCATTCAATTTTCATTGCTTGTACCTATTATAGTTGCATTGGAAAATTGTTCACCTGAAAGGATATTTAACATCAGAATACCCATCATATGGAGATTCCGAGGGAGAATCCTCATTAAATCAGTCACTGATCGATATGTTTACCTATGCAACAATATGATCGATTGGTATGAAACAATGTTATTCCCAAGACTAGATACTGCTTGCATCTCCCCCTGAATGTTCTTCTAGGAGATGGATCATTCATTTTTCAAGCAATTTCCCTATGAATTTCTGCAAAGCAAAACTACTACTATAATATTGTGTTTACCCAGTGAGGGGCGAGATTTGTTCTCAAAATTACCAGCTAAATGATGTTTTTTTAATTGCAATTAGGCACAGAACATTTCTCAATAATACTTTTGTCGAAATATTTCAATTTAATATTCGAAAGTTGCAGAAACTTAATATAGGTTAGAATTGATCGTCTTCTTGTTCTTATCATCTATGTCCCAAAAATCAACTTGCCGATTCACCAATCTTGGTGCTTTGTGAGAAATCATGTATCATTCATCTCTGTCTAAAATAGTCTTGTTTCAGTATTAGGGTTTTGACGTGACATCATCGCCTCGTTTTCAGATGTCCGAAAAATCGGGGATTTCAATATTTTTTTATAAAACGTAGGGAGCTCACAGCAAGAAACGGTTTGCGGTGGTGAGCGAGTTTGGGTGAGTTCTATCGAATTATGAAATAAGATTTTTTTGTGATATAAGCCCATTCATTAGTCGACCTTTTGTTATATTTTTTATAAATGTGTTAATTTATCCCTATAACGAACAGATAAATTTCTTGGAAAAACGAATACAATGAATCAATCAATCAACTAACCTTGGCGGAGAAGAGGTAATCCGCATCGGACGGCTCCAGCACAGCGTCGTTCTCCTTGACGTCCCCGATGTCCTTGTGAATGACGTGAAAGGAGCAGGACTTGTTCAACGCGAACGGCTTCTCCGGCGGGAACGAGTCCACCCACCGGATGCTGGTGTGGAAGAAGTCCGAAGGTACGTAGATGTTGGTGTAGCGACTGCGTATCTCCAGTACGTCGCCTTCGTGTCTAGAAATAAATATATTTATCTACTCACTGAATCGAAAGCAGGCGTTTGCTCCCTCATTTAAGGAAACAAAGTTGTCAATTTACTCCCACGGGAAGAAAAAAATATTAACTCCCGTGGGAGGTAAAATGAATTTGCTTCAGCATACATCCTTTGGCGTCGATATACCTATAAAATCTGTGCAATCCAAGTAATCAGTGTCTTTATCACTATTATAAAACAAGTAACAATAATATCTTCTTTGAATTCCAATGATGTCATACACTTCTTCATATTCTGAACGTACTTGTAATCAAGACTTTCAAATGCAGTTACACAATATACAGATCAATTAGTTTATGATGACATAAGTGTCAAATTGACTCTCGTTCAAATGCCGTCAATTGTCCATGGCATCCTATACCTTTGTAATGATTCGGATAGAGTGATAGACCGCCTGAAGCACAATTTCAAGAATGATGCTTCAAAAGAATGCGTTCGTTGATAAAATCATATATACAGGGTGGGTCACGGTAGATGGCACCTTAGACGTTTACGGAGAACGGGACATAAGATCATTCTGAATATTTGGTTACTCAAGTAATTGCTCTTGATCTATCGATCTAAAATATTTTCAGCTCTGCGGCGTTGCCGCTTCTATCGAAAAGTAGCAACAACTTTGTTATTTTGAATGGAACACCCTGTATTTTATTGCATCTTCAGATTCTCTCTGAAGAGCTGATTTCATCGATATATCACACTTGGGGTCTAGCGGAAATGATTACAGAGATATAGGGTGTGAAAAATCGACATTTTTCAACTTAAGGAATTTTTTTTGTCGAAACTATTCATTATTTGTCGAAACGGCTTACATGTCCCTATCCCAACTTTTGATTAACTATCTACTGATATTTAATTGGGTCATATACCGGGTGATCAAGAATCTGAATTCTGCACCACCCTGTATTTGTTTCAATTAAATGTCAGTAGATAGTTGATCAAAAGTTGGGATAGGGACATGTGAGCCGTTGTGACCAATAATGAATAGTTTCGACAAAAAAAATTCCTAAAGTTGAAAAATCTCGATTTTGAACACCCTATATCTCTGTAATCATTTCCGCTAGACCCCAAGTGTGATGCATCGATGAAATCAGCTCTTCAGAGAGAATCTGAAAATGCGATAAAATACAGGGTGTTCCATTTAAAATAACAAAGTTGTTGCTACTTTTCGATAGAAGCGGAAACGCCGCAGAGCTGAAAATATTTTAGATCGATAGATCAAGAGCAATTACTTGAGTAACCAAATTTTCAGAGTGATCTTATGTCCCGTTCTCCGTAAACGTCTAAGGTGCCATCGACCGTGACCCACCCTGTATATATATCATGGGAGCAAAGGTTCATTTCCTCCCATGTGTGTTTGATGCCCTCCGCTACGCGTCGCGCATCAAACTTCACTCGCGGGAGGAAATGGATACCTTTCCTCCCTTGATATACAGGGTGGGCCACCAGTAACACCTCGGTCTCTAGAAGGCTAACCACTTATCTTCTTGGAATTCTTCCTCTCTAGGAAGTTGCATGTCAACATAGGCTACCATTTGAAATTATTTTGAAACATACAGGATGTCCCCAAAAATCACAAAACACTGAAGTTGAACTTTTTTCAATCGAACACCCTATATATTATTTCATTTTGAGATTCTCCCTGGTGAGCTGATTTCAACAATCCATCATACTTGGGGTCTAGCAGTTATAATTACTGAGATATAGGGTGTGAGAAATCGAGATTTTTACAAGTTCAAGAATTTTTTGTGTCTAAACCATTCATAATTGGTCAAAACGGCTCACATGTCCCTATCTCAACTTTTGATCAACTATCTACTGACATTTAATTGAAACAAATACAGGGTGGTGCAGAATTCAGAATCTTGATCACCCGGTATATGTCCCAATTAAATATCAGTAGATAGTTAATCAAAAGTTGAGATAGGGACATGTAAGCCGTTTTGACCAATTATGAATAGTTTCGACACAAAAAATTCTTGAACTTGGAAAATCTCGATTTTTCACACCCTATATTTCAGTAATTATAACTGCTAGACCCCAAGTATGATGGGTCGTTGAAATCAGCTCATCAGGAGAATCTCAAAATGAAATAAAATATAGGGTATTCGATAGAAAAAAGTTCAACTTCAGTGTTTTATGGTTTTTGGGGACACCCTGTATGTTTCGAAATAATTTTAAATGGTAGCCTATGTTGACATGCAACTTCCTAGAGAGGAAGAATTCCAAGAAGATAAGTGGTTAGCCTTCTAGAGACCGAGGCGTTACTGGTGGCCCACCCTGTATAAATAGCTATTATTTTCCTTTGGAATACCTGAAAAATTATAGGAATAGTCATGTTGTTACAAAAATATCAAACTATCAACTAGATAAATGACAGATTACATAATATGATAGACGAACATTATATACAGGGTAATCCACGGTGGATGGCCTATTAGAAGTATCTGGAGAACGAAAAGACAGAACATTCTGAAAATTGGGATGCTTTGATAATTATTGATCATTCTCTATCCGTCTGAAATATTTTCATCGATACAGTGTTGCCACTTCTATCAGAAACAACTAGCAACTTTGTTCTCCAGATACTTCTAATAGGCCATCCACCGTGGATCACCCTGTATAAGAGAGAAACATTATACAAGGTGCCTGTAAAAGGTTGGGACATGGCTTGGCTGTGGACTCCTGGGATAAAATCAAGTTGATTTAGGCCATCTCACCTATATCCAAAATCGTCTCGTTGAGTTGGTACAAGGCGTTGAGGTTTTTTTTGAAAAAAATAATTTTGCTCATTCCTCCTAACTTATCTCACGACAGGAATAAATCTCTTCCCACCTCGGTGTGTAATATTGCCACGAAAGGATATTTTCCAAATTATTCTCAAATATTATTATTACTATTTCACTGTTCTAATTTATCGAGTTCGTTATATTTCTCAGCAATTCAACTGTCCTCATTCGTGACAAAACATTTTTCAATAATGTTAGCGACGGTGTTCAAATAACCCCGTAAATGAGAAGAACGCCTAAGGAATGCCTCATCACAAGATGCCTCGACGACTCATCGGTATTCGTAATCATCGTGTGATAAAAGACTGAAGCAAGTTCAGTCGATTAATATCGTAGAACGAATCACTTGTCGATGTTGTATTTTAATAAACGGTCATCTTTGTACAAGCCGTCCTGAGTGAATAAAAATGTATTTGAGTGTTGAAATTGTGTTTATCTACGAAGCCTCCCTTCAGAATCTTTTAATAAAATAAACATTTGGAGTGATCGATCATAATCCACGTACCAAGAGGGACTTGACTTTCGGTCCGAATAGCGGAAGGTCCCCAAGTTTTTGTGTTAGATTATTGTAAGCACCATTTTTATAATTCATTAAATCTTCAACCTAATGCCTCTTCAAGGAATGTCAAAATTGTAATTTATCATTAATAAATCCATATTTGTTTTTGTTGTTCAAACTCAAGTCCTTTCATTGAGTATCAACCCTCAGCAAATCCCAACTAGCAAAGAAAATAAGTCGCATTCGTGACAATATACAATTCCATAGCATTGAGTGATTCATACAGGAAACCGTGTTGTATGTCAGGGAGTAATTTAAAACATTGTTAACCGTTGACAATATGCTGACTCAAGAATTTTAGAGAACTGATTTTGCACACAGATCAATCTGTAATTTTTCATGTCTTGGGAAGATCCTTTGTTTTTATAAACTGGTATTCCTTTGGACTGTTTGATGTTTGGGAAGAGTCCAAGAGAAAAAGAATTATTTACCAGATCGCAAAGCGGTTTAGCAATTAGTGTGGCGACCGATTTGACTACTCAACCATCAATATCATCTGGACTGGGTATAGATTTGGCAGTGTTTTTTATTATTATTAATATTTCTTCGGGCGTTGTTGGTGTTAGAAAGAAACTTGTATGTGCCCCTTCAATACATGTATCACAGTTAGGCAGAAAAATAGTTATTTATTATACAAGGAAGTAGTAGATTTTAGCTCCAGGTTGTGTTGTCTCCCGACGCGTGAGCTAAAATCTAATATTTTTCCCGTGTATAATACACAATTTTTTTCTGTGACAGAAGAAAGGACGAATCAATATTGAGAAGATATTACATTATTTTGAAATCTGAAAATTACCGACGTGAAATTTTAAGTTTTTAACAGTACGGACACCTGCGTTGTAGGCATCTTCATCATTCTTTTGAAGTAATCAAATATCTGATGTCACTTCTGTCAGTCTAATTCTGTGATTTGATTTCAAAAAATTGCGAATTTAGTGGTTGTTTATTAATATACGTAACCGCGAAGTCGAATGGAAGATGCAGTTCTTTCTCGGAGACGGTATTATTGACTCATTTTTCGGAACCATACCACAACAAAAGCCATCAACAGTGTATATATGTGATATATATCCGGGAAAGAAGTACTCACGTTTTCCCCACGGGAAAAAAGTAATTTCTGAAAGGTGGCATTCTATAACCTGCCAACAGAGATGAAATGCCAAACTTTTTTCCCGTCACAAAAAGATAGTTATTTATTATACAAGGGAAAAAAGTAATAGGTTTCAATCGAGGTAGGGTCCCTTAATGGAAATTGACATTAAAGTCATCTTAACAGGGTACGGATAGATCATAGCTGCATTCCTTTTCAATGATCTAGAGACTTTTGTTGCTGTCACGTCACGTCCATGGGCGCTACAGAAAATCATTCAAAATTTTAATAATAGGTATGTACAGGGCATTTACTTGTTGAAGAAGATCATAATATGGGGATCGAGTTTTGTAATTATGATCCGATTCTATTCAAAATTGGTATCTGGGGGTTTTCGGGGTAGGAGATAATGATTGTTTCGTGAAAATTGTAAAATTCAGGATGACGGATCGAATATGGCGAAAGACATTTCTAATTATGATCTGATTCTATTAAAGTTTGGTATCTAACGGTTTTTGTCAAAAT